GCGAAATTATTTGAACACTTATAATGAAGAAATAATTGATTTAATTATCATAAGTATATTATAGAACATTTATAAACGGAGATATATATTATTAACGCTTACCGACCGACCGATCGCCTATTAATCGGCTTTTTTTATCGACAACRCTTACCGAYYGACCGATCGCCTATTAATCGGCTTTTTTTTATCGCCCACGCTTACCAAACAATCGCTTCTGTTGTATTGTTGTTATCAATATTTTATTAAATCTAATTATCCTATCCTGTAATATACTGTATATTCTAATATATTCTGTAATAACAGAAAGCACAGATACTCCCGTGCAATGGTGTAGGCCAAAAAATAGCCGGTGTCAAGGAGTATCTGTGTTTTAACATTTGATGGGAAGGTATGATTCTTTAAATTATATAGATAAAGTTTCAATCAAATCTAAATATATATATATATTATTATATTATTATTATTATTTATATATCTATATATATATAATTATGATTTTATTTCATACGTATATAAACGTAAAGATTATGTTAAAGTTACAAAATTATTTGTGAACGGATAATTTTGAAGTATTTAATATTTAATAAGATCACCATTGACACGAATAAACATCTTGTAAACGATCATGCATACATACTCTTTACTTACTTTCCTATAACACTTTGTGATATGTAACTTCATACTTCGAATACCATTACTATCATTTAATAGTAACTATTCTATATAAATATATTTCGAATATTGCTTGAAACTTTACCTGTATAATCCTCAAAGAAATTATAGTCATACATTCATCCAAAGTTAACAACACGTCTCGGTATATAAGTTGTTCTATAATATACTTATTATATAAAAATAATAAATTATTTCTCATGTTAAGTGTTCAAATACGTTCGTGAGTCACTTTATATTTAAAAGGGGGGAAGGGGGCGTACAATTGTATTTAAGAATTCCTGGTAAAACGATAACGGGTGAACAGAAGAGAAACTTAGGTACGGGCTGAGGAGGGAATGAGGGGGGGGGGGCTAGTTGCACGTTGGGAAAAAGTTCTCTTTCAACTTCTTCAAGTGGCATTAAAATATTATTTCCCCCCTCCCCTCCCAACTCGTTAGAACGTAAATACAATAATAATACTCTTTTAAAAAGATCATCCTACGAATTCGTTCCCAACCGCAATTGGTTTTTTAAGAAGAAGAAGAAGAAGAAGAAGAAGATGAAGAAAAAAATAATGCAAAGACTACGTTCTTAATTCATTCTTCCTTAATTTAAACTACGTTTGTTGTATGCGTACACAACACCGATAATGGGTCTTTCTTTTTTTCTTTTGTTTTTTTTTAAAGGGACATCATGATTCTTTCTTTCTTTTTTTGTGTGTATACCACCAAAAAATAAGTAGGAGAAAGGGGTTATTTTTCAAACTAATTATCCTTGCACCACTCGTGTACTCGTTTCTAAACCTTCCTTTAACCATCCCCCAGCTGCCCCCACCACCACTCCGGTCGTCCCATCTTTTCTTTGAGATTTTTTTCTATTATTCTATTGTTAACCATTTTTACGTTTATTATTACGTAAATTAAAATAACGAGTTGACATTGTTCACATTTATATGACGTAGAATATATCATTGTGTAGAATATTTGTATTATGTTGTCGGAAAAGGGGAAGGGAAAGGGGATGAGGGGGGTAGATAGGGGATACTCTTTTTATTTTTTTATTTCATTTTTTGTGGATAGAGTGGGAAAGAGGGAGGGGGTAGTTCTCGTTCACAAAAACGCCATACGAATTAAAATATTTCGGAATGTTTCGAATTGGAACGATTAGTAAATCGATTATTAGAAATAAATACGAGTCTTCCGGATAAAGATTTGTCTTTTTTTTTTCTTCTTCTTCTTCTTTTTTCTCGAATCCATGCAATCGTAAACAAACAACAGGGAGTATACCATTCCTTCATTCTTTTTTTTTAATCTAATTCCAAAGAAAATGGTTAACACCTTTCGAGTCGATATAATTCTCGTTGAAATCGACTCGAATGGCTTTAGAATTGGTGAGGGTATTGAGTTGTGTGTGTATGTGTGTGTTTAGAAACGCGTAATATTATCAACTGACTCTAAAATTCCAATGAGGTTTGAAGAAAGTTCTTGTCTATTTTTTTTTGTCTCTTTCTTCTTCTTCTTCTTCTTCCCCCTTCTCATTCGATAAGAAAAGGAGGGTGGATTAAAATCAGAAGGTGGAGGAAGAAAAGAAAAGAAAAGAAAAGAAAAGAAAGAAAAAAAGAAAAAATAAATGATAGAAGAAGAGAGATGAAGATAGAATATAAAAAGGTAGAAAAAGGATAAAATGAAGTTGGAGACAGTAGAAGTTAAGTTTCTCAACCCTGACACGATCTCATCAACGTTTAAGAACTCCACGGTGGTTGTGGTGGTGGTGGGTGGGGGGTAGTGGGTAGTTGGTTTGCTGGTTGATGCTTTCCACGTCCTAAATCCAAGATTCTCGAAGGAGCAAGCAACCCAACCCCTCCTTCCCTCTCACCCTTCCCACCCTTCCTATTTCCCTCTTCTTTTCTTTTCTTTTCTTTTTTTTTTTTTTTTTTTCCTTTCTTTTTTAGTCCAAAGACATTCGATGAGCCAAATTAACAAACGTGACGATTTTTTTTACGTGTCAATTTCCTGATCCTTCCATGGGTCCGGTGTTGTTGCGTATGGGGAAACGAAAAAGAGAGAGAAAAAAAAAAAAAAGGCCAAGTTTTATCTATCAGATTTATACATTTTTCAAAATATTTTCATTTTTAATTTATTTTTCGCGTATATATATATATATATAGTGAATTTTGTCGAGAATATGTACTGTTTGATTATTATCGAAACCTTCTCATCCTCTCTTCTACCCTTCCCTCCCCCTTCCCCATCCCATCAACTCCCTCTCCCGGTAAAATAAAAACTAGCATCAAATATAGAAAATTAATAAAGTGTAATCCGCGGTTTTGCAATTTTTTTTTCTCGTCTACTATTTTAACGCATTGAAATTTTATATATATATATAAAAAATCCCGTATTCTCGAATATATAGAATTAAATTTGAACGCGATGTGTACAATATTTCGTTTAACACGTAACATAAATATTTTTTGCATAAACCCATAAATTTCGATATTCAATCCCAATTTGAAATTCGCAGAACGTAACGGAGTGCGTGGGTTTTTTTTTTTTTTTTTTTTTTTTTTTTTTTTTTTTTGTCTTTTTTCCAGGAAAAATCACGAAAGATTTGTTAATAACCATTGCCAATCTTTTTCGATAGGAAATAAAAAAGGGGGGAGGGGGAGAAAAAAAAAGAATCAAAAGAAATGTTAGAGATCACTTGACTGGATGGATCGTTCGAAGATATAAGTGTTAATCGATTCCTACTCAAATCACATTTTTTTCCTTGGACAATTTTTAATATCCGTTCTGATAATATCCTTCAATAAAGAGCATCAAAGTGTCTCGTACAATCTTTTCCTAGATTTTTTTTTTTTTTAATAATAAATCTCCTTTGGTTTAGGTTAATAAATTTTCTTCTAAAGTAACTGTGACGTGTATTTCAATATTCTTGTTTTTTTTTTCTCTTTTTTTTTTTTTTTTCACATCAATCATCACAAAATGATAAATGATAAATGATTAAAAGCCGTACGTTGTTTCATATTTTTTTCTTTATCTTTATAATATAATATTCTCTTATTATTTAACATCAAAACTCTTACGTCGATTCGGATACATTATTTATTTATTTAATTATTTAATTATTTATAGCGAATATATTTTAGTTAAACTTTTCTATTATCAACATCTTGCACGTTTGCTCTATCGGTTTTATTTTATTTTATTTTTTTGTTTTTTGTTCTTATCCGTAACTTAATCTATCCATTTTTAATTATAAAATACTTTAAACTATGGCCTTTTAATACCGTCGTTTAAGATTTTCAAGTTCACTTAATTGGAACTTTTCTTAGTTGAGAAAGGAATCCCATTTTTACTACGACAGGTAGAAAATCTATGAACTATTTTATGTTTTAGCATTATATATATATATAAATATAACGATAACGTTAATATTAATCTTTACATTTTGTATGCTTTCATTATTCTACAATACAATACAATTTAATCATCGATATTTGATATTTGCTTGCTTATAATCGTCTAAAACGAAAGAAAAAATGACCCATATGATTTCAAACATCATTTATGATTGACAAAGAAATCCATTTCAAAAAACTCACACCCACTGTCTTTCATTTTCTTCAAAAATTCAATTCTTTCAAAACGTAACATGTATTCTTCAAATGACCAATTATCTTATTTTGAATAATTCTATACGTTGCGAATGCTTTTAATTTTTTAATGTCAGTACCACAAACACACACATACACACACAGAGTCACAAAATCAGATTGTTTAAACAAAATTACAACTTTTTCTTGAAAAAGAACGATCATTTGCTTGATCATTTGCCCGGTTGCGGTATAAACAGATAATAATACATATTAACTGTAGGTTTTTTTAGCGTTAGAATCTCATCAAGAGTGGTTCTAAATTTCTTCAACAGTTGTTAAAGTACTTCCTCGTCGAACAAATTTCTCCATTGACCCCAACCTTTTTCTTATTCTTCTTCTTCTTCTTCTTTTTTATTTAACTTAGGTGCTAGGTTCCCATTTCCGCGTTCTTACATAATTACTTCATACCAAACAATGTTCGCATCTCGCGAAAAATACTATTATTAATAATCAAAAGTATAAAGAATGAAATAAACAATTACCTTTCCGGTTATTCTCATAAACTCGTTTCATTTGCAACGAAATAAAATTCTACGTTCGATTCAACGACTGTCATCATCGAATTGTGAAAATAAATTTTTCACTAATTCAAAAAGAGATAAAAAAACCATTAACACTGTCATTCATTTTTTTTCCTTAAACGTAAATAAAATGTACCATTCGAGTTAGAAAATAAAAAGAGAAAAAAAAAAAGAAAAAGATATAGGAATTTTTGTATTCGACAAATAAGAAATTCATTTTCGTTTAACGAAGATATTTTCGAGAAGTTCCTTGGTAATAATTCGATGCGGCCTTGTTGGATCTTCCGTAGGTTTGCCGTACAATCGGCTGTTGATGACGTACAGTTTCGGACTTAATTCGCATCTGACGTTGAACCACCAATCGCAAACGAACACGATCTGACTGAATTGCGTACCATTTGGACACAAAAATGTAGCTTGTCTGCCATCTATGTCACAATAATGCCAAGCTTGACATCTTGTTTCAACATCCGCGAAGAAACCTGGATAGGGTTGATCATCGCAATAAAAATTGGTGTAGGGCACTTTTCCTAGTACTGGGTAATCCGTACCTGGCCGACCTGAAAACAAATACAAATAAATTTGTTAATTATTATAACGAATTCAAATAATATAAGTTCTTTTTTTTTATTATAAATTACGATTATTCGTTATATTAAATATTTTCAATGCTGAATATTTTCAGTTGAAGTGTTTTTTTTTGTAGGAACGGAATATTTGTTTACTAGTGCGATATTGTATTCTTGATTGATATTACTAACCGCAACTAATAATAAATTATTTTCATTGCGACAAAATTCGAAATAATTAATCGATAGTTAAAACCAACACATTATTACATTATTTGCATTTATATTGACAAACACATACACACATATATATATATATATACGTTAGGAAGTTTTATCGAACGCGTGTATGAGTAAACAACACTCGAAGGATTAAAATTATATTACATTTAAATTAAAACAAATTGTGAAAAATGTATTCAATAAATAAAACTCTTGGAAATTACAATAATAATTTAGAAGTATGAGTAAAATATTCCTTTAAATAATAATAATAATAATAATAATTATATTAAAAGAGCGTATATATTCGTAGAGTTAAAGTTAAACAATGTTTTATTTCAAAAAAGAAGATAGAAGAAAAAAATGATAATTAATTATAAATAATACTAGATTATACGATGTATAAAACCGGTAGACTCTTTCATTATTTCTAAATGAAAATTTGAACCTATGTGTCCATGCATTTATAAGTTCGCAAGTTGGTAAGTCATTGTTTGCTTAGAGAGCTTCATCCGCGATAACTCCAGACGGAATAAATTGAATTCTGGAGTCCGTGTTGGAAGTTTCATAACACCATTGGAACATCTCTAACTTGCTATAAGGTATGGCACTGAAACACCCTACTCTATTCCTTTCTTAGCTACGCCATAAGAATATTAAATGATAGTAGTGGAAAGCTCCTATCCCTTAATGATAAAAGTCAGAAGACCTTGCTATGCGTTACTCATCTTTTTCTATCTCTTTCTCTTTCTCATTTTTTTTTTGTCTTCTCTTTATTTTTTAAGTCACGTTTTTAAGATACAGCTAGTTGAAGTATCTTTGACGA